ACAGAGAGAGAGAGAGACCTTAGAAGTCACAATGCAGAGCCACATCAAGAAAGGGTCATGAATTACGCATAGATTTCATAGAAACTATTGCTTTAAAATGACTTCCGGTGCTAACACAGGACCTTAGCATCTTCACACAGGAGAACAAAAAGCTCAGATGCAGACCCCGGGCTTAAATGGAAGCTCAGCATGGATCCCACCTCCCTCCCCAAGCTGCTGTGTGGCCTTTGAAACCTGAGTCCTGGTACTTCTGTGCTGCATGCTGGCTTCCGTCCTGTGAGGTCTATGCAAGGGTGAAAGGACCTCAAGATGATTTGGTAACTGCGAAGGGACTCAAACCTGCAGACTTGGGTTCAAGTCTAGACTTTGTCACTTACTAGCTGCCTGTCAGTCAAGCTTTTCTGCGTCTGCTGGCTGTCAAAGGTGGAGAATACTAGTTTTCTCCTGGGTTAGGTGAGAGTCTGACCCCAGAGCTCTGACAGCTCAAGGGCTCAACAAATGCTACTTGTCCTTCTTGTCCCACAAATGAGAATGACAGTGGAGCCCCCCTCCAGGCTTGTGAGGACAAAACTCGAATGTCCACCAGCTCAACCCTTCCCTTGCAGCCACTCACCCACTTCCACAAACTCATTGTCCTCCAGGGCCACCTCCAGCAAGTCCTCGCTGTCCAGCAAGCCCAGGCCCTTGCACTGGCGCACGAGGAAGCGGACGTCATCCACCGAGGCAAAGCCGCCGTTGTCCGGCTTGTTCTTCATGTAGCGCCGCACAGCCTCGCGGCCCAGCCAGCCCACAGTAAGCCTCGCATCCTGGCAGGGCACGGCCAGCCATTCCCCTCGCACATGCACTGTGTACCTGGGCATGGCTCTGCTCTGCAGCCGGGCGCACGAGGTCACTGCCACAGGCCTGCTGACTCCTTCTGGGCCACAGCCACAGGAGGAAGAGGTTTTATCCAGCAGGGACTGCAGAGGTGTGGTCGGTGAGGATGGGTGCACAGAACACACCCCTTCCCTTGCCTTTACTCATTCATGCCTTGGACAAATATTGATTGATGGTTCCTGGTGCTCCTGTGGTTTGTTTTTTTGTATATCAGGGAGAGGCAGGAGAAGGTGTGCAGGCTGGTGAGTATCTGTCTGTCTCTGATCCAGCTCTGTGGGCAGAAAGGCCTGGGATCTTCCACCCTGCTGGTTAGGGCCCTCAATTTCTCCCTCTGTTCTCTTCCCCTAAGGGAAGCTTATAAACAGCATGTTCCTGAGTTTATCTGGAATTACTCAACTGTAAAATGCACCCTGATGGCCAAGTGTGACACCCCGTGGTGTGGCAATCTTTATTCATTTGTTTGTTCCACAAACACACATTGAGCAACAAATCCCTATCACTATCACAGTTAAATCCTTCTCAAATTCTTGCTCCACAAAGCAAGACAGGAAGGCCAGGGGTCACCCTCTGGATAACTACTGCACCCCAAGGACCCCCTAGTTATTGGCCTTGGGCAAGTGAGTGATTAGCCTGTTTTCTGGGCCAAAAACAAAGGGATTAATTGTTCATGAGCTGTAAGACTTCTTAGAAAGTTACTTGACTTTCTGAGCTTCACTTCCCTTGTCTATAAAACGAGGGTAATAACAGCACCTACCCTAAAAGTCCTTGGGAGGAGAAGCTGAGTCCATCTGCGGAAAAGCCTCAGACCAGCATGCAGAAGTGGAAATGTAGGAGAGTTTGTGACTGTGATCACCTGGACTTTAATATTCCATATCACCCCTATTGCTCTGTGAACGTTCTTTCTTTTTGGTACTTGGGACTTCCTAATTACATACATTTCTCAGAAACTTCTGCCTCCAAAGTAGGAGAGGGCTGACAGTCCAAAGAATATCTCCACACCCGAGTCGGTGAGTGGCTGAGTTGGTGAGGGGCTGCTTACAGAGCAGGGGACAGCTTATGAGGTGTGGCGCTATGGAAGCCGCCCACCCCTGTGCTAGGCGGTTGGTTTTATAGGTCACTAATTAAAACAGCAAAAGCAGGATGGAAAACAAGAATGGCCTTGGGGAGAGTTGTGTGTACTCTGCCTCTGTCCCATCTCCCTGAGGAGGCACAGCTGGTCTCAGCAGGTGCTGTCTGGTGGCAATGGTGGGTGACCCTGTTATGCTGCAGCCTGGCTTACGACCTCAGCACCTGTTGGGACGCTGGGCCCCTGCACGGCTGGGTAGCGGTGTGCACTGCGTACGGAGCTACTCTGGCGAGGGTTCCAGGGGCTGTTCGCACTACACACGAATCACTTAAGCTTCTTCACTAGGATCCCCTGCTCCATGCACCCAGTTCATTCATTACCACTACCATGGAAGCACTCTGAACTGCACGGAAAAGGAGTCATAGACAGCTCTGCACTGCTTCTGGTACTGGAAAGGACACTAAGCCAGCGCCAGCTGGTGTTCTAGGCCATCTTATAGCTTAACTTCCCGGTTCCCTAAATTTGCTTCTTGTAAATGTTGTTAGTTACCTAACTCAATACCACCCCATAAGGCTTTGTCATACAACCACTTGGTCCCTATGTAAAATGTCGAACACATTTGTTCTTTTGTCGCAAGCTAAGCCTGTGCCTTATAGTATTTCTGTAGCTGCACTAAATCATATTAGCACCACCTGCCTAGACCCGGAACTGTGTAACTGTCCTCTCCTCCTGCTCTTCAGGCTCGGTGCTCTGTCACGTACTGGGCGCCCACTGCCAGCTTCCCAGTAACCTTACTTGTCTCTGCATCCAGCCTCCCTGGGTGACTCAAATGTGTCTTTGCTGCAGCACTTAACTAAGCAGTACTTCAGTAGAAGATCCTGAATTGTCTGTTTCCATGCCCCAGACTTTATCGGAAAGTGACATAGCTTCCCTGTGTCAACATCCCAAGCCTGCCATCCTGAGACAGCATCCTACAGTCTCATCACAACTTGCCCTTCGATCACCCACACTTGGCCTGCAGCCTGGAGTCATTATTGCCTGAAGTTGATGTCATCCTGAATTCTGGTGTCCCACTCCTGCCCTCTACCTCCAGTCTCTCCTGTAGTCACCACTGCCCTTCTGCTGTCATGCCCCACCGGCTGGAAGCTCTTCCTAGTTACGTTCCTGGACCAGTCCTCCCCAATCACATTCAAGGTCCTCTGCAACCCCTAAATCTGTGCCTACACTTGAGTGGAGCCCATGCCTGGGTCCTCAAGCCAAGCCTCTCCAGTCACTGAGGCGAGATGGTGTCCTGTGGCCGTGGACTTGTGGTATTGCCCTTTGATGCAGCCCTGGCATCAGTGGGTGGGGCTGGGCCTTTGCCCCCAACACCCACCGGTCTGATTTTGGAGTCCGGCCCAGGCTCCCCAGTCTATGTGGAAACGGAAACCTTTGGCTGTGAGCCACCTTCTTCCCAGCTCCTTCTTTCACCTACTCACTTGCATTCAGCAAATGTCTCTCCAACTCCTGCTAGGGAACAAGCTCCATATGAGGTGCTGGGGATGAAGTAAATACGCCAAGTTCCTCGCATTCACAGTGCTGTCTGCTGATAGATACAGACTTAGACTAGGACGTCCTGCAGCCCCCCGTGAGGATGCAAATGCTAGCCTCAGGACCCCCAGTCAGCCCAGCTTTTGAATCATTCCAAGGTGACAGAGCTTTCACCTCCTTTGCTTATTTAGTGCTACCTAAAAATTCTCTTTGCTCACCCAGTAATCATGGGCATATCTGATGTAACACAAGGACACTCAGCACACGCTTATTAGCCAAACTGAGTCAGGGTGGATGCCTCTGAGCTGGCCTTAGGTAACTTCTAGCTAGAATAGGTTTGATTTAGCACCCTCTACCTTCTGCCCAACAGCCGGTGTTTCGTCTCTTTCAGTATCTCTGGTGGGTGCTGGAGAGCAGTGGCCTAGTACGTCTTGGACACCCACAGGGCAGAAGCAGCCTTATGCAGCGTTAGCTGAGTGCACGGATTTGCTGAGGCCTGTCACTCGCAGCGCGATTCTACCTGGCATTTGAGCAGCTCCCTCTGGTATTCCTTGCAAGCGCAGCAAGTTAGAGCAGAGCCCAATCCAGCCCCACTGAAGCACAGACAAGTGTCCAAAGGGACACAACTGCGAGGGACAGCAGGCGAGGAGAATCCTCAGGTCTCCAGGCATGGGGCACCATGCTCTGGGGGTTCCTTCCTCTCTCTCTGAAGACTTCAGTCACCGCACAGCACTTTCCATTGGCTTATTCTCTAGGACAACATTCTCCATGGCTAGAGTTTATTTGGCTAGGGCTGGACCACACTAGAGTCTGAGTCTCACCCGACCTGGGCCAGTGTCTGAGATGGTGCCCCTTGTGGTGGCAACCATCTGTGACAGCAGAGCTGGAGGTGTCCAGAGGGCACGACGTAGACTAGAGCAGCAGAGTGCAGACGGAAGGTCTGGCGCCTCCGCAGGCCCCCTCTGCCTGCCCTGGGTACAAGGCCGCTTCCCTGCACCTGTAGCCTTGGCACAGTCATTTGGACTGCTGTGACTGGCGGTCAGGAAAGCCTAGCTAACAGGGCTGCGGTGCCTGGGGTGCTGCGCTGCGCTGCGCTCCTGAGTGTGCTCCGTCCCTCTTCCTTTCTCTGGGTCACCTGTGATTCTACATGCTGTGTGCTCTGGGTGGGGACAGATGTCTGGGTGTGGCAGCGGGATCAACACAGTCAGGTGGCTATGCAAGTGGCTGATGGAGGGGCTGATTCTGGCGGCAGCACAGGACCCTGAACAGAGCAGACCAGGACAAGCCCATTGGGTCAGCAGGGTGGTGCCACTGTGGGGAGCAGAGGGTCACACCTAGAGCTGCCCAAGTGGGTAAGGGTGTCCACCCGCGTCTATCAGGCAGTGGTGAGTGCACCTGTTTGGAGCACTCAAAACTCAAAAACCCTTTTAAAACTCAAAACCCTCACCACACTGAGTTTTGGGATTGCAACAGATTCAGGTGAAAGAACTCCAAAACAAATCAGGTAAAGAGTATGTCAGCACGCTTCATGACCATGGTGGGAAAGACTGCTTTAAAAATTTTAAACTTGTAAATCAAAAGATTAAAGCTCACTAAAATTTATTTTTCAAAGACTATACCACTAGTTAAAAAAAAAGTACAACTCAGAAATATCAATGAGAATAAAAAGCCAAAACTATAAAGACATTTTTAATCACAATGTGAGTTGAAGTTTTGTATTTCTTCATGAAGTCAATTTAAAAAAGATTTCTGAAATCAGCACGCAGCAGGGCCTTAATCCACCTTTAAGTCCTTCCCCACGAGCATTGCAGTGACAGGGTGCATGCTGGCCTTGTGTGCGTGGTAGGTGCGGACGGCTTGGTCGTGGGATTTGTCAAAGGCAGCCAGATCCCTGCCAATAAAAAAAAGAAAGATGGGGTGGAGACACAAGAGAGAGAGGGGCAGAGGGAGAAGGAACGAAGTCAACACCCAAGGCTCAATTCAAGACAACCTCGGCAGTGGAAGTTAAGTATCTCCCAGAAGTCGCACGCAGCCAGGGCCCTTGTGCCAACCACTGTGTCCCAGACTGACTGAGCCTCATGCCGACAGTCACAGACACTTGGGGAGTCACAGGGACAGGCCAGAGTGGCCGGGATGGTGGCCATTTACGGAGCAGCACGGGGACGTTAGGATCTGGACAGTTTCCGCTCACCTACTGGCTACCTATCAGTCTCGCCTAAGAGTACCTCAAAGATTCATCTTTTTAAAAAATTGCTTAAACATTTATATTTTTAATCACTTTTTTTTTTGTAGAACCAGGGATTGAACTCAGGCCCTTGCACTTGCCAGGGAAGTGCTTATTCCACTGAACCATCTCCCTAGTTACTTATAAATTATAAGGCAGAAATATTTATTTTTCCAGAAAAACATATATATATATATTTTTTTTTGTTGGAACCAGGGACTGAACTCAGGCCCTTGCACTTACCAAGGAAGCGCTTATTCCACTGAGCCATCTCCCCGGCCCCAATAAAATACATTTTTAAATACTTTACTTAAAAATTAATTTTGTGGCCACAGTTCAAAACAGTCAATCAATTCCATGGAGATACTTTTAAGGTGTATCTAGCTGCCAAAACAGAACGTCCCCTGTTTATCAAGCATTCCT